TTAGCATGCCTTCGTGTTGACAATAGCAGTATCTTAGATAGTCTACAAAACATTTTCACATATGACTCAATCTTCACAATCATCTTGAGGAAAGTAATGACGACAACAAAGCTCTTTATTGAGTACTTTGTGCCTGGCACTTCCGTTAAGAGCCTTACATAATATTATTATTTAATTCAACAATCTGCTGAGGTTGGAGTTGTAAACCATTTATTAATGTCAAATACAAGGCAGGATTTGAATCTATGTTCTCTAAATATTGATACTATGGCAAGATTTGGAGAAAAGGGCTTGAGTGTCAGTCCAATAACTTAACATCTAGGTGACCTTGAAAAGTCAATTCTCTTAACTTGTCTTAATTTATTAAATGACAAGATTAATACCTGCCCCCACCTATTTCAGAGTAACAGTAAAGATCAAATTAAGTAAAAACCATAAAAGGTCTTCATAAACACTAAAAAAATTACACACAAAAAATTATCATCATCATTCCCAATTTTGTTAAAGAGAATGAATAGGAAGAACAACACAGAATGGGGAATGGAATGAAAAAGATGCTGGTTTTTCTTTTGTTTTCTTTTTAAAGCATACTTCAGACTTCATAATTTACCTGGAACTTACTGGCAATTGGTCTAATAAGTCTGTACCACAATATATATTGCCATTTTGCTAAAAAAGACACAGCTATCTATTTATCTGTAACTTATACAGATTTAGAGATTAATAAAAATCTAACAGCTGATTTCATTTTTAAAAATAAAGTCACTTTCATAAGAATAAGTGGCCACAATATAAGGTCGCCATAATTAAAATTCCCGTGCAATAGCCTTCCTGTTCTTTTCTACAGTAACATGTTCAACATCGGATGCCCATATCTTTCATTCTGCAAAGATTAAGACATGAACTATAGGTCCAAAATAAACAAACCAGACCACTCAAAATGAGTTGATTTAAAGGAAAATTTCTATCATTCAAAACTTCATAACTTAAGGTTAACTTTTAATAGTATTTTCAGTAAATGAGTGAGAGAAGGAAGTTGAAATGAGACCATTCAACTGTTGCGAGGTATGTCAGATATTAAAAAGTATTGAACCTTAGATTACTTACTAGTCACAAAACTTCAGCTTACCAAAAAGGTTTAATAACAGAGTTCAGAAAAGCCACAGAGTACTCATCTCTTTCATTCCAAAAACAGCCCTATTATTTTTATTCCTTCTAAATTGTATTCACAAAATTCACAAAAATTGCAAGGCAAATTATTGTAACAATTTATATATATTAACAATAAAAAATACCATTCTCATTTTCAATAAGAAAATACCCTTTCTATAGAAGAAAAACCATGGACTCTGATAACCCATTTCTATAAAATGTACATGTTTACTGATTAACTACATATGGTATTTGATCTACTTTAAACCTACATGTAAACTCAATAGCATGTCAAACTTAACTTTCATATATAAAATTATGTGCAAATACCTCAATACTGAAACTCAAGATAGTAATTTGTATACTAATTCTAGGATCCAGATTTTTGTAAGTAAATATCAAATGATATGTCCACTGAGGAATTTTTTAACCTAACTTATATTCATTCATTCAATTCCAAATCTACTACATATTTCTAAGCAGTAATTCTCAACTGGGGGCCACTGTGCCCCCCAGGGGACATTTACCAATTGGTTGTCGCAACTGGAGAGGAGAGAAAGCTGTTTCCAGAAAGGTACGTTACAGACATCTAGTAAGTAGAGGCCAGGAATGTGGCTAAACATCTTATAAACAGCACAGGACAGCACCCCACAGCAAAGATTATCCACCCCAAAATGTCAATACTGCCAAGGTTGAGAAACTGATCTATGGAAAAGTTTGTAAACACCATCTGTCTAAGAACAGTACTCACTTCACCTTTGTTTTCTATATTATTTGCTAATTCCTTTGTTTTCATACTAGTCTTTGGCAATAAGCTTACCCTATTCCCATCCTTTCAATCAGTGTCTAACTTCCAAACCTGTCAACAAAAAATCACCATCTCAGCCAATTTCAAAACCTTATAATCTTTGACTCAGAATGGTAGAAATGGTAGCAACTAACACATATTGAGCTCTTCACTATGTACTAGGCACTCTTCTAAGTGCCTCTATTAACTCATTAAATCTAGGTTTAAGTACTAAGTACTCTGATTAGGCCCATTTTACAAATGGAGAATCCAAGGCACAAAAGGTTAAATACTTTGCCCAAGGTCACACAGATAATAAGCAGCTGAGCCAAGTTTCAGACCCAGGCAGAATGGCTCCAGAATTCAGGCCTTTAATCAATATTCCAAAGTGATCTCTCCTATTTCACCCTCTCTGTCAAATCATTAAGTTCTTGAAGTTCCACAAAGACTTATATTCACAGCAACATCCCCAGAGCCCAGTACATAACAGATGCTCAAAAAAATTTTGTTTGTTAAATGAATGAAATATCCCTTGAACTTACCCCTCCTATTTCCTCTGCCTCCACTCAACGACAGCTTTTGAGCATTTCAGACTTGGGTTTGTTGCGGTATCCTATAAACCAGCCCGTCAGGTAAATTGATATAAACTCCTCTCCCACATTTTCCAAAACCGGAGCCCATCCAGCGTATTCCAAGCTTTCTTCCCATTGCTTCTCAATTAAAATAATAAAATCTTAAGAATCAGAAGGTACCGTAGCAATCATCCAGTCCAACATTTTAAAGATTAAAAAAAACACACCAAAGACGGTAAGTGACTAAATAACCTAGCCAGGTGTAGCGAGGACCAAGACTTGATTCTTGCAATTTCTGCTCTACTATTCACTCCTGGAGTATCTAACTCCTGACAGATGTATCCTCACAAACTTGTTTCCTTTGTCCATGCTTAATTTGTTTCTCCTGACCAGCCTGCTCTAATTTTCTTGCTCCATAAATCCAACTCCCATCCATCCCTCAAAATCTCTTCCTATTCCAGTCTTCATGACTTCCTCATTCTCTGAGAATCTTATGTCCCTGAATAAGATGGAAGAGGAAGAGGATCACCATTGCTTACTGGGCCAAGTTTAACGTGCTTTAACACTTTACACAAAGCAAAGCTACATGGATTTCTTCCCTGAAGACTATTCACCCACTCTTGCCTCCTGTGTTTTATTTTACGTGTGTGTGTGTGTGTGTGTGTGTATGATTTCAGAGAGGAAAGAATAGGGAGAGGGAGATAGAAACAACAATGATGAGAATCACTGATCAGCTGCCTCCTGTATGCCCCCAACCGGACATGTGACCTTGACCGAAATCGAACCCGGGACCCTTCAGTTTGCAGGCCGACACTCTATCCACTGAGCCAAACTAGCCAGGGCTGCCTCCTGTGTTTTAGAAAGTAATTTCAATCAAGAATAAGTCATATTGCAACTTTATAACATATTCACTCAGGTCTTTAATAGTAGACATGTAATTCTTGAATGGCCCCAAACCACTTATATCTCCTCCACTAAGGAACAACACAGCTTATTCACAATTCCAAACCCAGAAATCTCTGAATACAACTCACCTAGCAGCCATAGCTCCCTGGGTTTATCATTTTCTTTCCTTTGCTTCCTCCAAAACTCCCCTTTCTAAGAAACAGTTCACACTTCCGTTTCTCCCACCCACCCCAACCCCCATTCCCTATATTGTGCAGTAGAGAATATCTTTTATCCTTTATTATTTAATATAGACCTCTTCAGTGAGATTCCAGTTTGCTACCTCTCATCCAACCTCAACTATCCCCTCCTTTACAGAGAGGTCATATCTATGTGTTCAGCTTCTCTCAGATCTTAGGATATCTAAACCTCATGAAGGTCAATTTTGTGGGGTTTTTTCTCCCTTCTCCTCTCTTCCTTCCTCTAAAAAATCAAGTCTCAAAAGTGGTGTGGGTGGGAGCAGCTCAGAGGAAGTGCAAAGGAATCCACTGGGCTGCAGGAAAAGATATCTATTAGAGCTTAATTTATTATACTTATTGTTCATGTCATGCTTTCTGAAATTCTACCTCTGTACATTATACAGTTGTATACATACTAACACAGTTAAGACAAACACAAAACTTAAAAGACACATTAAATATTCCTGAGGTTTAATGCTCTTTTACTGATTCAAGGATATGATCAGAAGAGTATGAAGACAACTATTCTAAAAAATACCTTGATAACCAAACAAAGTAACAGGCTCCAGACTCCAGAGAGGAAGTACGTATGAATTACATGCACACACACAGTAGGAAAATGTGTGCGTAATCCAAAATCCTAGCTATGCCCACCAACCTCTAACCCCTATCAGCCATCTCAGAATTCTATCCTCCTTAAAAGAGCAGAACAGAGAGAGGTATGGTTTGGCCAAGCCCTTCATTTCCAGTATTGGGGGGGAGGGGGGGAGGGTTTGGGGGGGGTGGTAATCAAAAAAGTGCTAAGGTACAACCCTTCTCTCTCCCACAGGCAGGCACTGCTCCCTGTCCTGGCACTGCACATGGCCCGACTCACAGATATACTTTACAGGCCGCCGTCTCCTGAGATTCCGTTGCTATTTCCCAATCCCTTTGAGACACAACTCCCCGTTCTCTCCGCTGACGATCGATTAGTACCAACACCTCCAGGATGGAGCCCACGCCTCCTCTCCCCTCCCGTCCCCTCCCGTCCCCGGGCGGCGCTACCCACCGCGCCCTCCTCCCCGATCGAGCCGCGCAGCCCGGGCCCGGGACAGAGAGAGGACGGTCCCCCCGCGGCCCCGGAGCCCACTTCCCCGGCCTCCGCCCCCGGAGCTGCCAGCCAGGCTGGAGGCGGGAGGGGGAGGGGTGTGACTCGCCTCCCGTGACTGGCCCAGATGGCAGCGGATTCCGCCCCCACTCCTCCCGGGCACCCTTCCACCGCCCGACCCCCCTCAGGCTGCCGCTCCGCCGCCCGCTCCGCCCCGGCCCCGGCCCCGGCCGCGGCCTCCCGGCCCCTGGCGCCGGCGCCCTCCGGGACGCACTCACCATGCTGGGTGAAGATATTGAAGCCGGCCTCCGCGGCGGTGCGCCCCGCCGGGTCCCGCCTGCGGCCGGACGGCCTGGCGGCGCTGCTGCCCCGGCTCCCGCGGGGCTGCGTCTGCTGGAGCCCCGGAGCCTCCCCGACGCGGCCCACCTGCTGCCCCATCCCTGCGCTCGCCAACTCCCGCGCCCCCGCCGACCCCCGGTCACATTCCTCCCCGGCTCCGGCCTCGGGCTCCTGGGGCTGCTTCGGCCTCCGTGCCAGTCCTGGCCCCGGCCCTGGGGAGCCGGGTGGCCGGCGGCTCCGCACCCGCACTCCTCACGCTGCCTCTCGGCGACTCACAGACCCTCCTCTCCTCCCCTCCTGCTCCCGCGGCTCCGCGTCCCCAGCGCCGCCGCCGCCGCCGCCATCTTTAAACCACCGAGCTCTGGGAAAGCGTGGAGCAGAGCGTCCCCTGCTCCCCCCGCCCAGCCAGTCATCTCCGCTACTCCGAGGGCGGACTTTCCCGCAGGCCCCGCCCCCTGCTCAGCCCCCGCCCCTGCTCAGGCCCCGCCCCCTGCGGGAGCCCCAGTGCCCACCTCTGTAGCACATCCGCTGCCCCGTCGGGTCTTTCGGCCCCTCTGTCCCTTCCCCGCATCTCGGACTCCCGCGTCGCGCCCCACACGCGACCCCCTTTGGTGGTGGGTGGGTGTCAAGTCCTCCCTGTCCCACCTCCACCTGCCAAATGAATCAGCCGGGCGCCCCACGTGCACTCGCCAAGCATTAGCAGGCACAGCTGGGAGAGAGGAGCATAGGGCACAGAGGTGCTTGCCTTCCAGGTGAGGGTCCCTAAAATGCTCTGGGGAGAATCTCTTTAAACACCCTCGTCAGCACCAGGCCTAAGATCAAAATTACCCAAAATGTACACGAAGATAGCAAAGAGGTACATGATTGTCTCATTTTGAAATTATTGCATGATGGTAAAGTGCAGTCGGCTCGGTTGTCTGCATTCTACAGGCTCACGGGAGGAAGCAGATGTGGCCCCAGTCCTCATATTATATTACCATGAAGCCTTTTTACCACCTAACCACATGTGTGTCTCTGTTACCCTCACAGTGCTTGACAGTAAAGCTAATAATCTTCCCACTGGCGTGCTTTATAAACCTGGCACGTGGTCAGGTCTTCCTTTGATGACAAAGGAGGGCAAAATCTATCTTTAACTCTGTTTCTGAGTCAGAACTTACTTATTCACCCTTAACATATTATCTAAAGAGAGTGACTCAAGCAGAAAAGTGTTTTTATACACACACACAATACATATTTATGTGTCTAAATATTCATTTATCCTCCCACTACACATTCTTGCATCTTAATATTGATCTAGTTTTTTAAATTTTAAAAGAACTAGATAATTATTTTCCTTTGGCTTTTCTATTTCTTTTACAAAATTATCAGTTATTGAAGGTATCCCACTGAAAATTTGCTTAAAATTAAAGCAGAGAGGATGGGTACCATGGCAAAGAAGCACAAAACAATCACTGGGGAGATAGGTTTAGGGGGAAGAGGTAAATGCTGGTCTTCTTTACATGTCTTACCAGCCTGACTTTAGATGAACCATCCCTGACATTGACACTATTATAAGAGCAGTATGAAATTATTCCATTGCTATCCAGGCTGTGGCCAGAAATAACAGAGGCTGCCCCCACACACACACCAAAACAAGAACTATGCTTTAGCACTGAATAGAATATGAATTTTATAGTTGAATCAAAGTTTCCCTGTGTTTAAAATGCCACACACACATCCCTTTTTAATTATCAAAGTGTTTGCAACTGCTGAAAAAAAACCATTCACAAGGGATAAAGGTGGTCACATAGCAAAAATTTGTGGTTTTTGTTTCATTTGTATTATCTTAGAGAATTTCAATTTGGGGGTAACAGTTTTGCTTCTCTGGTAGTCTGTCTATAAGTGACCGTTAGGACTGGTCAACAGAATGACCAGTTGACCTAACGACTGGTTGACCGTTCACTATGATGCACACTGTCCACCAGGGGGCAGACACTCAATGCAGGAGCTGTCCACTGCGCTCCCACAGCCAACCTTCTGTGGCCTAGGCTGGCCAACCTCCCACAGTCCCTCCCGCAGGCCAGCTAGCCAGTCCCCATCAGGACTGAGCAAGATGGCCCCAATGGGCCAGATCACTAGCCAGGCCAAGGGACCCCACCTGTGCATGAATTTGTGAACTGGCCCTCTAGTGTTATATAATGTAATAGATGCATATAGTATAGCACAGTGGTTAGGTGTAGGAATGCTGACTCTTGACTGCTGGAGTTCAAAAGTGTGTTTATAGCCCTAACTGGTCTGGCACAGTGGATAGAGCGTCAGCTTACGGACTGAAGGGTCTCAGGTTTGATTCTGGTCAAGGGCATGTACCTTGGTTGTGGGCACACCCAGTAGGGGATGTGTAGGAGACAGCTGATTGATGTTTCTAACTCTCTATCCCTCTTCCTTCCTCTCTGTAAAAAATCAATAAAATATATATATTTTTAAAGGTGAGTTTATACTTATTAGCTATTTGGTCTTGGGCAAATAACCTTTTTATGCATCAGTTCCTCATCTGTGAGGTCATGATAATAACAATAGTACCTACCTTATAGTGCTCTTATGAGAATTAAATTAGTTAATATGTATAAAGCTTTTAAAACAATTTTGGGCATGTAAGTGTCATACAAGCACTTACTATTCATACCAAAATAAAATGTAACAGGGGGTAGGGGAGGCTGGGGGAAAGTCTATTGGGGGAAAAAAGAGATATATGTACTACTGTATATAATACTTTAAACAATAAAATAAAAATTTTTAAAAGAAGATATAAACTTAAAAGAAATAAAATAAAATGTAATGTTTTCAGAAGTCCATCAACTTTTCAAAGTCTAATTTCTTCAAGTGGTATAAACTTAGGTCATAGAACAAATTCTACAGTATTTATTCAGATGAGCCACCACCACCACCTGCCACTTCGCATTTAACTAAAAACAAAACACCAGTCAACCAATAAAAACATGTAGAGTCATATGTCACTTTATTAGTCATTCCTACCTGGTTATCGCCAGCTACCTGCACATGTGAACAATTACATAAGATCTTTGTTTTTCATATGAAAATTCCTCTGTCACTGATTCTTAAGATCCTATCTAGGCCAAAGCAAATATCTTGTAAGCGGAGACTTAGGATACATGCACTGTCTTGTAGATATTTTTCCATTCTTTCATTTTCAAAGTGAGATGGGAACTTTCAGAAAGGGAGGTAGGGAGAAACAAAGTTAGGGAAACTATTTCCTCTCAACATAACCAAGCCAACATGAATTGCCGGAGAATTACATTTTAACATTCAAAATAATCACAAAACATTATCTTAATGGAGGGCAGGTGTGAGCTTCCATCAGGGGCAGAAAGAAGCCTGGTGGGAGGAGGAGGGGATTTTGAGAGGGGAGTAACAGGGATGGTGCACAGTAGTGCAGGCACAGCCTCACCTGTATGAGGGCCAGGGAACTGGCATGAAAGATCAGATGCAGCACCAACACCAGCAGGCACACCGAAGACACAGATGCTCATCATCTTGATCTTCTCCAGACGGAATGCCACTGTTTCCAGAAGCAAGAAGAGTGTGAGCCGTGCCTCACTGATCCTTGTCTTCACCAGCCTGCGTTTCCAGGCTTTTGCTACAACGGTCTTACATTATCTCCCATATCTACTTCTTTCCCTACATCTGTATGGACACAGTGTTCATTTGGACTCATGTCATCTCTCTGCTGGACTCGCCTGCTACTAGCCTTTTCCTCCCAGGTTCCAAACCTTTAGCACCCAGCAATCTACTAAAGAAAAATTATTCCTTTCTCTCGTTGCTTTGACCATACTCCCCTCCCCTCCATTATGTACAATGTCTAGGTTTGTCATCTAATGTTTCAAAATTATTTTCCAGGACACCCTGGATTATAATTGCCTAGTGTTCACAATCTCCTGTTCCTCAAATCCGAACCCTGTCTGTGACAGGTATAGGTACATCCAATTAGCCTCTTTCTGGGGTGTCTTCTTTTTTTAGCTATGACTTTTGCAATAATCGTATTCTCCCCAATATGGCTCCTGAGTGATTCTCCTTATGGTACTTAGGATTCTACTCAGATCCTACCTCCTTCATAAGAAAGTCTCAGATTCATACATAGAGATAGAACAATTTCCCTGGTCTCTATGCTGTTCCTACCTACAAGCATGACTGATAACAATTCTTTGCCTATAAAATTCAGTTACTTTCCTCTACATCCCCTAAATGAGTTTAATTTTGACAGGTGGCTCAGAGTCATAGGGTTGGAAAGAATTTTAGAGGTCACCTAGGCAAATCTCTTGGAATTCCCTCTATAATAACTCCAGGGAGGGAGCCCATTTGTTTTAAAACGTTCTAATTGTTAAAAAGATAAACTGACACATGCCTCCCTGAAATTTCCACCTGCTTCACTCCTGGTCCTAGTTGTCCCCAGTAGCTACACAGAGCAAATCTAACTTTTCTTCTACACAACAGCCCTTCAAATATCTGAGAGTTGTCATATTTCCCTAAACCTTTTCTTTCACTTGCGTACATGAATGTTTTTGTATGATTATGTTTATGTCTGTCTGTATTATCTACATGGGCTAAAATGTTTATGTCGATAATTTGGAACCAAAAAAAAAGTCATTTTATATCATATGTATTGTAGTTTTCTTTCTCTTTTTTTCCAGCTTTATTGAGCTATAATTGAAATCTAGCATTGTTTAAGATATTGATTTGATACACTTACATATTACACAGTGATTATCACTATATCCTTAGCTAATATCTACATTACCTCACATAATTGCTATTTTTTAACAGTAAACAATACTCACATTTTTTATTCCAAAGTAGGGTTGTTGTTTTTTGTTTTGTTTTTTACAGGACCATGGTTCTTCTGCCCCTACAAAAACATTTTATTTATTTATCTTTATTGTTGAAAGTATTACAGATATCCCCTTGGTTTGTTTGTTTGTTTTTCCCATTGACCGCTGTCCCCACCCCCTATTTCTTTTTTGTGGTGAAAGCATTTAAGATCTACTCTTTAGCAAATTTCAGGTATATAAAATAGTATTATTAGCTATATCATCATGCTCTACAACAGATTCCCCAGAACTTAATTCAGCTTATAACTGGGAGTTTGTATCCTTGAACAAAATCTCCCCATTTCCTTCACCCCCAACCCCTGCTAACCATCATTTTGTCACAAATGGCCGAATTGCCTCCTTTCTCGTGGCTGAATAATAGTCCATGGTATATATGTACCACATCTTCTTTATTCATTCTGTTAAGCCTTTTGTGCATGCAGTACTTTGAATTTTGTTTGTGGTTCGTCTCTCCATTGTTGTTGTACTAAATCTTTAAAGGCCTACAGAGCGCTAAATACAGTTCCATTTACAGAAACACACTTTAAAAGTTTTTTTGGATGACAATCAGGAGGAGGAAAATGACTCTCATCTGGCTGGGAGAGAATAAGTCATTCTCTTTTAAGATAAGGAGATGGATTAAATGACCTCTTATTGTTCCACTTAACTCCCATGGGTCTATGATTCAATATTTCTTCGATTGAAAACTTTATGAATTATTAAGAGACTCTTTCAAATGGGCAAAGTGCTATATAAATGTCAACTAGTAGCGATAATACCATCTATTCGTTTTAAGTTAATAAATTAGTACTCATTCCTTTTCTTCGGTAATAATGAAACAGCCGATTAAACAATCCATTTAACATGTAGCCCATCACTGTAGTGTAATGGAAAGGGGCCTGGTTTAGAATTTATGCGAAACGGAGTTGTTTCTGTTATCTATTGCTGCCAATAACAAACTACCCCAAAACATAGTGGCTTAAAACAACAGTGATTTATTATTACTCCTTGCAATTCTAAGGGTTGGCCAGCCAATTCTGCAGATCTCACCTACACTCCCTCATGTTAACAGCGTTCAACTGGAGGGTCAGCTGAGCTGGGTGGAAGGCTCACAATGGCCTCATATCAGGCAGTTGGTGCTGCTGTAAGTTAGCATCTTGGCTCTCCTCCATATGGCCTCTCGTTATGGGCTGGGTTGTGTGCACCCCATCTCTGCCAATTCATATGCCAAAGCTCTAGCCCCTACTATCTCACAACACGACTGTTTTTGAAGACGTGATTAAATTACAATTAGGGCGAATCCTAAACCAATGTGACCAGTGTCCTTATACGAAGAGGAAGTTTGGACACAAACACACACAGAAGGAAGACCATGTGAAGACACAGAAGAAAAACCATCTCCAAACCAAAGAGAGGTCTCAGGAGAAACTAACCCGGCCGACACCTTGATCTCAGAGTTCAACCACAAGAACTTTGAGAAAGTAAATTTCTGTTGTCCAACTTACCCAATCTGTGGTATTTTGTTACGGCAGCACCAGCAAACCAATATAAACAATATAATCTACTTGCAGAATGAGCAGGTATAATAGTTTATTAGTATGTTAGGGTGGCTTAAAACAATAGAAACATATTTACTCCCAGTTCTGGAGGCTAGAACTCCAAGATCATGGTGTCAGAAGGACTGATTCCTTCTGAGGGCTGTGAGGAAGAATCTGACCTTTGCCTCTCTTCTAGCTTCTGGTACTGATTGATAATGTTTGGTGTTCTTTGATGCGTAGGTGCATCACTCTTATCTCTGCCTTCATCTTTACATGGTGTCCTTCCAGTGTGTGTGTGACTCTGTCTAAATTTCCTCTTTTTTTGTCCTAGCTGGTTTGGCTCAGTGGATAGAGCCTCCGCCTGCGGACTGAAGAGTCCTGGGTTTGATTCTGGTCACGGGCACATGCCTGGATTGCATACAGGCTCAATCCCCAGTAGGGGGCGTGCAAGAGGCAGCCAATCAATGATTCTCTCTCATCATTGATGTTTCGTATGTGCTCTCTCTCTCCCTGCCTTCCTTTCTGAAATGGATAAAAATATATTTTTTAAAATTTCCTCTTTCTATAAGGATATAAGTCAAATTAGATTAGGGTCTGCCTGATGACCTGACTTTAACCTAATTACCCTGTGAAGGCCATGTTGCCAAGTAAGGTCAAATTATGAAGTACTAGGAGTTAAGACTTCAACATACGAATTTGGGGAAACAAATTCAGCCCATAAAACTGAGCTTTCTTATAGCATGGTGATCTCAGGATTCTTTTTTAAACAATAAAATTTTATTGATTTCAGAGAGGAAGGGGGAGAGAGAGAGAGAGAGAGATAGAGAGAGAGAGAGAGAGAGAGAGAGAGAAACATCAATGATGAGAAAGAATCATGGACCAGCTGCCTCCTGTGCGCTGGACGATAGAGCCTGCAACCCAGGCATGTGGCCTGTCCAGGAATCAAACTGTGACAGGTCTCAGTGTTCTAAGAGAGCAAGAGCAGAAGCTGCATGATCCCTTGAGGCTTAAGATCCAAGACTCTCACAACATCATTTCTACTACATACTATTAATCAAAGCAAGTCACAGGCCAGCCCAGGTTTAAAGGATGGGGAAATAGCCCTACCTGTTTTGGCTCAGTGGCTAGAGCCTCAGCCTGTGGACTGCGAGGTCCCGGGTTAGATTCCTGTAAAGGGCACATGCCTGGGTTGCAGGCTTGACCCCCTTAGGGGGTGTATAAGAGGCAGCTGATCAATGATTTTCTCTCATCATAGATGTTTCGATCTCTCTCTCCCTTCCTCTCTGAAATCAATAAAAATATCTATTTAAAAAAATAAAAATTAAAAATAAAGAGTGGGGAAATAGACTCCACCTCTTAATAGTAGGCCCAGGAAAACATTATGATCATATGTTTTTGTTTTGTTTTTTAATGTGTTTTTTTATGATTATGTTTTCAATCTTCCACAGAATCTGATCCTTTATTATAAGAATTAACTAGTTTACGGCCTTTGGCTAATCATGAAGGCATAGATTCTTGGAAGAAGAAGAAGGGATGTGTGCAGAAGGCAACCAACGGATGTCTCTCTCACATTGATGTTTCTCTCCCTCTCTGTCTTTCCTTCTCCCTTCCACTCTGTGAAAATCAATGGAAAAATATACTTGGATGAGGATTATAAAACAACAACACTATAATAAATAAATAAATATGAGAAAAGCAAATAGAAGTAGGTTTACAGTTGTGAGTATATGAAGCAGCTTATTTTTATGTTATTATTTATTAATTATTGTATTATTTTCCATACAAATAACTGTAAACTTACTTTTACTCACCCCTGTATATTCAAGATGATCCAGGTTTCTGTTACATATACAGAAAGGGAGAAGATTATCAAATAAAATAGGAAACCGTGAGTCCATACTGATATAAATTAATATGTAAATAATCTGAATGTTTGTTAAGTCAAGAGTTGTATATATATTACAATGTATCCTCCCAAAATATTATACTTATTAATAAGTACTATACAATGGAGAAGACTGACATATACCATTTTAATCAAGTGATCAAAATCACCATGGGACTAATCAAAATTGAGCTCTAGCTGATTGGTTGCAATGAAAAAACATGGATTTCTTACCAAAAGTGAGAACTATTTCAGAGTGAAAGGGATTAAACAGTTATGACAACCTAAAGACAACATAGAGTCCTGGATAGATCTGTTTAATCAGATCCTGGACATTTTGTACAACTTGAGCAGAGTCTGAAGTAGAAGGTACCAATGTACGAGTGTTGATTCTTATTTTAATGACTGTATTGTGATTATACAGGAGCATATTTATAGAAACACACATTAACTTGCTAAGGAATAATGGCACATCATATTGGCAATTTATTCTCAAATAGTTCAAATACCTTACAAAAAAAATCAAGTATATAGGTCTATGATATTACCCTCATTGACAAATCTTACAACCCCATCACTTTAGAATCAGTTGTTTTTACTTTATTTTATTTTTTTAAATATGGTTTTATTGATATTTAGAGAGAGGGAGGAAAGGAGAGGAAGAGATAGAAACATTGATTGGTTGCCTCCCACACACCCCCTACTAAGGATCAAGCTGTAACCCAGGAATCAAACCAGGACCTCTGGGGTACATGGGATGATGCTCACCAACTGAGCCACACTGTCCAGGTTAGAATTATTTGTTTTTAAATTAACACTGGTAATTTGTCTTGAGTGGTGACTGCTTTTTTGGATATATTGTGCTGACAAACAATCTATTATACTAATTAGCTTTAGGTTAGAGATTGATATTGCAGTCTCAAAGGGACATATTTCTTTTTTTTTTAAATAACATGTCAAAATTAATATTTTCAAATAAGTTTTTTTAAATTTAATAAGTCTTTATTGTTCAGATTATTACAATTGTTTCTCCTCCCCAAGGGACATATTTCTAAAAATAAATCATTTCTAGTCTCTTTGCTCATAGGTCTCTGTTATTTTAGGGGTTGCCACCAGTGCTGGAGTAACCAACTTTCCTAGTTTGCCAGAGACGGTTCCTGTTTTGGCACTGGGAGACTCCTCACCTGAACGTGAAAGGTCCCGGTTGCTGCACTGTGCCATAGGTTGGGGGAAAGGTGCAAAAGCCTTGTGGCAGCCCTCAAAAATAGAGGCTGAAAGTGACACAAATTATCTGCCTTTTGGTTACCGTGTCTCCCCCGAGGCCGAAGTTGACAACCTTGATTATTGGTTCACAGAAAGAAATCATCTATTGCTGCCTTCTTCCAAGGGACACAAGTTAAGCGGGCAATTTAGGTGCCTTGTAACAACCAGTTTTTTGGTTTTGCCTGTGGATTAACTATTGTGCTTTGTATCAAGATAGTGCTAGTTTAATTGTTAGCATTGTGACCATATTTTCTAAGGATGCAGATAATGAAAGAGAACAATTACAATACCTACACCAGCATGACCTACATATCATTGAAAAAGAAAGCTAAACAACTTTTTTTTTTGTTAT